CACACACACACCCCATGATGGACAGACAGACACACACACACACCATACAGACAGACACCATGACACAGACAGACACACACACACCATACAGACAGACACCATGACACAGACAGACACACACACACCATACATACAGACAGACACCATGACACAGACAGACAGACACACACACACCATACAGACAGACACCATGACACAGACAGACAGACACCATGACACAGACACACACACACCATACAGACAGACATACACATTACTTATACCTGCCAGGGGGAGGTCTTCTGGGGGCCTTTTACCGCTGGGAGGTCTTCTGGGGGCATCTGGGGGACATGTCCTGTCGGCCGCTGGGGAGGTCTTCTGGCGGCCGCTGGCGGACTTGTCTTGGCGGCCGCTGGGGGAGCTGCGCTGGCTCTGCCCTCCCGCCCTCGCGCGCTGCTGAATGAGACCGGCACCGGAATATGACGTCATATTCCGGCGCTGGTCTCATTCAGCTGCGCGCTGGGGAGCAGAGCCAGCGCAGCTCCCCCAGCGGCCGCCAAGACAAGTCCGCCAGCGGCCGCCAGAAGACCTCCCCAGCGGCCCACAGCAGACCCAGGTGTCTGCCCAGCCCCAGGTGCCGACGGCCCACCGGGAAATTTCCCGGTATCCCGGTGGGCCAGTCCGGCCCTGCCGTTATGTCATTTCCGGTTCGCCGTCCAGAACTACATTTCCCAGAAGTCTCTTCTCTGTAGCTCTGGCGGCGTTAGAAGTTCAAAGTTCACTCCACCTCAGCGAGTGTAAGATCACTCATGAAGAAACAGGGGTGTATTTATGGGGATAGGAAGAGGGAAAAAAATAATTTTACAGACTGGGATATATTAATCTTATATATACATTGATTGTAATTCTGTAAAATGTGGTCTAAAATAGGAAACATTAATAATGCTAATTTAAATGTACTGCTATTTTATAATAGCTTTAATAAATGCATATTTCTTTCCTAACATAATATATTCAGATGTATTTTAATATTTTGTCAATCTTAAAAAGATAGACGCATATATATACAGAAATATAATGTATGTGAGGAAACTAGTTTTTTATATTTTACTTTTTCTTTTTGTTCTATATGTTAAATAGTTAGTGTACTAATAATTTTAATTTTAATAATGACAGTAGGCAAATATTTGCATATCTTTCTTTACTGAAATCTCCAGCAGCATAGAAACAGAACAACCAATTAGAAAAAAGTCAGAATGCATACAAAAGTCTATGACATCACTTCCTCTTTCTTTGAAGCGAAAAACAGCAGGTAATAAACATATTTAATGTAAACATAATAAAGTTCCAACAGTTCAATAAAACAGTAATGTTCCAATCCCAAGTAGAATCTTGATGTAGAGACACGGGAAATTAATCTTTGTCTTGAGAATAAGCCATTCACGCTGAAAGAAAAATAAATAAAGTGAAAGGTCTCTGAAGTGGCAAGTTGCCCGCATATAATGAACATTATGATCATGAAATAACACCGCATGCATTTGCTGCTAAGTAACCAATAGATACCAATTCTTAGAATATGTGCTGAACTATACAACAATATACAGATATAGTCTTCCTGAACACAAAGGATGTCATCTATTCTAATGTAATCTACAATATGGGAGGGCTCAGTAGGGTGGGAAATATTCGCCTCCTGTCATTATTAAAATTAAGATTATTAGTACTCTAAAGCTAATATAATCTTCAATTTTACAACATGACAGGAGGCTTCATATTTGCATTTTTAAAGCTTAGAATTAATCAATGTGAAGGAAGCATGAGACGTCTGACGAAAATAAAACGTCCTGAACGTACTCTTGCGTGTCCAATCTGCATGATGCATAATATCAGCCAGAGAGGCTCCTGCCGATAAAACTTGTGAGGTCGCCACCCCTCTGACCGAGTGAGCCCCGAAGCAAGGTTCAACGCCAGCTAACGATAATAGCCAGCGGACCCATCTGGCCAGTGTCTCATAGATACCGGTCTGTGAGGTTTTACGTGTGAAATCAGAAGCTGACCTGCCGAAATAGTTTGGAGGGGAGCTGAGATTTCGGTATATCTCATCAGTGCCCTGACTACACATAACTCGTGGTCTGTCACAAAATATGGGTATAAAACCGAAGAGAAGTCTGACAGTCTGACGCGATACGGAAAGGTAAGCCCTTCTGGTGTGAGGGAGAACCCATCCACATCGAACGCTCTAACATCTGCCACCTGTCGAAACGAGACGAGACATAGCAAGAGGGTCAGTTTGGCTAAAAGTTGTTTCAGCGAGAGGAAAGGGTTGTCCGGCCATTCTCTAAGGAAACTCAGCACTACATCCATATGCCATAGGTGTGCATATTACGGTGCTGGAGGCCTTGTCAGGAAGCAAGAGACGTCTGACGAAAATAAAACGTCCTGAACATATTCTTGCGTGTCCAGTCCGCACGATGCATAATATCAGCCAGAGAGGCTCCTGCCGATAAAACTTGTGAGGTGGCAACCCCTCTGACCGAGTGAGCCCCGAAGCAAGGTTCAACGCCAGCTAACGATAATAGCCAGCGGACCTATCTGGCCAGTGTCTTGTAGACACTGGTCTGTGAGGTTTTACGTGTGAAATTAGAAGCTGACCTGCCGAAATAGTTCGGAGGGGAGCTCAGATTTCGGTATATCTCATCAGTGCCGTGACTACACATAACTCGTGGTCTGTCACAAAATATGTATGCATGGTTTTTAACAATCAGGCTTATTATAGAAGCGTGTGGGGCCTGTCTCCTTAAGGTCTGCAGCCGCAGGACCCTCGTGGGGTTCATCCCAGGTGGTGTGCCATGGTAAGCCAGAGGACACCCATGTTATAATTATTGGCACATTACAAGCATTGCATGCATATCTGTGAGTCACCCCAGGTGGTGTGCCATGCAAAATTACCCAGAGGACACCCACGTTCAATATGTACACTACGTACAGTAAATATATATATATGTATCTCTGTGAAGGGTACTCTGCAATACACTCAGTTTCCTTAATGATCCTGCATGCAAATCGTATCCAGCAAGTGGAGTGGTACTGTTGCTTTAATGTAAAACTGACAGGCAGTGTTTAAACATCCATATATGTATGTGGAGATCAGTTTGAGCTGAGCTGATTTACTGTGGAGGCAATCCTGAGAAAGGAAACCAATGCTAAGGTGCAGATCGGGTGGTGTGCCATGAAAAAATACCCAGAGGACACCCACGTTTAGAATGTACACTAGGTACAGTAAATATATATGTATCCCTGTGCAGGGCAATCTTTAATATACTCAGTCTCCTTTAATGATTTGCATGCTCAAATATCCAGCAAGTGGATTGGTAAATAGTTCATATATGTGAAACTGACAGGCAGTGTAAAACACTCATCACCAGTATATGGAGGTGTTTGATATAGTGAGGGCAATCCTGAGGGAAAGTGTATTGGAAAACTGACAGGTAGTGTTACACATTCATTATAAGTATATTTGGTGATGTTAGATTTATAACAGTGAGTAGCAATCCTGAGGAAAAGGCAACACTAAAGGTGCAGATCAAGTTATACTCGATCTGTAAAGCAAGAGGGAAGTCGTCCGTCGAGGATTTCTCGCGAGACGCGAGATCCAAGAAGGCCGCCATTCGCGTGCAAATGTCCGCAACGGACTCGCTTGTCGCGGGTCCATTGCGCGAATAAACGCCCCGGCCTCCCTCCACCCATCCCCGAACAGTCCCAACCAGTGCCGGTAAATGAAATACAAGGAGAACAGGTCCGCAGAGCGGGTGCGGCACGGGCAGCCGTGACACTCGCGGGCCGAACAAGGGAAACAAAACTTCTACAGGTAATGCACCAGTATACCAGGGGACAGTGAGAAAACAGTCATGGATACAGTATAAGTCTAGAAGGGACAGGTATAGGAGAACCAGGAATATATTAGCAAGAAGTATGAAAGGAAAAACGAATATACAAATAGTCTGTAAAAATGAGGTTACACAGGAGAGGCAAAATACTCTGACCTGTGTAGGCTGGAGCAGCAAAGAAAGAGGAAGTGATGTCATAGACAGGGCTTTTTGTATGCATTCTGACTTTTTTCTGATTGGTTGTTTTGTTTCTATGTTGCTTGAGATTTCAGTAAAGAAAGATATGCAAATATGAAGCCTCCTGTCATGTTGTAAAATTACAAATAACACATAGTATTCAGGGATACCCTGCCATTTTAGGGTCAAGAAGTAATTATGTCTTAGTTTGTTGCAAAACTGGAGGCTCTTTAAACAGTTTTTATTGTTTTTTTTTGCCTTTTTAAAAATCAACAACAAACAACAAATGTGAAAGGCTGAACTTCATGGACACATGTCTCTTCTAATGTTGGATTGCTATGCACGTGTACATGCACGTGCATATGTACATAACCACAAATATACACAAACACAACCACAGATGTACACACACATAATAAGAGACGCAAATACAATCATACACACAATCATAGATCTATAGTCACATAAACAGACATGCATAATCACAAAATTTAAACTTAACCACAAACCTACACAAACACAATCAAAGACCCACACATGCATGCATACTATAACAGCCACACACACACACACAATCACATACACACATAATTGCTGACATACACACACAAAAATCACCTTGATACACACATTTGAAGAGGTCAACCCAGGCTCCCTACCAGTGGCGTACACACAATCCATGGGGCACCGGTGCGAAACTGATCCGTGGGTTGTCGTCCCCCGACAAATACACACAGACAGACACACACACGCACACACATACACCCATACAGACACACACACATACAGACATGAACATACAAACACACACATACACATAGACAGACAGACACATATATACATAGAGGCACACACATACACACACAGAAATATACATACAGACACACACACATACAGTCTGTATATATGTGTCTGTATGTATGTGCCTGTGTATGCGTCTATGTATGTGTCTCTATGTGTGTGTCTCTGTATGTATGTGTCTGTGTGTGTGTCTGTATGTGTGTGTGTGTCTCTGTATGTGTCTGTATACATACATACAGAGACACACAGACACATACATACAGAGACATACAGAGACACACACATACAGAGACTTAAATACAGAGACACACACATATACAAAATGTTTAAGTTACCCTCCTGTTTCCTACCTTATGCAGGAGGGTGACTTTCCCTGGGGTCCAGTGAGGGCTCAGCCTGATGGGAGTCAGAGTTTCCACTCTGACTCCCTCCTCCTTCCTCCCATGGGGCTCTCTGATTGCTGGGAGGAGTGACCGTGGCAGTCACTTGCTCCCAGCTCTGTCTGATGTCATCACAGGGGGCCTGTTAAAGTGCCCAGCATGGGTCACCCGATGGGCCCCATCATGTGCGGCCCCGGCGGTTTTTCGGGTGGGACGGGTCGCAAAACATGGCAGCTCGTACCTTGTACGCCAGTGCTCCCTACCTTGCTCTCGGAGGGCTGGAGTGGATCCTCTCTCTAGTGGCCAGTGGTTGGCAATGAGGACACTGTGCTATTTATGCACAGATTCCTTGTGTGCCTTGTAGTGATTCTGGGATGAAGTAATTTCCTGGCTGCCGTCTCACTGCAGGGTGTGCAAAAGGGCAGGGTGTGCAAAAAAAAATGGCAGTTGTAACAGCTTTTCAGTTGAGGGGACATGGCATGATATAGGGAGTCATCATGGACCCCTCTGCACCTACAGCTCAAGGAGGCTCCCCTATTGCCAACTGCGCTGTGAGCAGCCACTCAGCTCGCACACCCCATAGGCCGGCCCTGGCTGCTCCCCCTTGGCACTGATTTAAAGCTACATTATCATGACTGGAGAGGCATTCTCTTTCAACAAAATTATCAATGTAGTTTGTCCCACTCATCCAAATCATACACCAAATCATACACCAATACAAGCAGCTCACCCTTCACAGGGCACTTAATTCTTGGGAGATTGTTCATAGTTTTTTATTCAATCTAATTTAACTATGCTGCCTGCAGTGAAATCTGGCTGGACAATTTTCAACTATGAACTGGCTTGGCAGTTTTTTCTCACAGAAGCAAAGGGTCTACAATGTTGACTTAAGAGGTTAAGGAAACAATTTTTAAAATGGGCATTTTTTTTAACATTTCGGCAGAATAGAGCTAAAAATACCACAATGAGTAAGAACAATTTCCCAGCAAACTAGATTACAACAGTAACATTCCTATTTAACCATAACTGTTATTGTCTTTCACATGCAATATTTTGCAAATGAGATTGAATGAGTATACATTGCTGTTTATACATTGATGACAGGGGCTACTTTAGGGTAGAAAAGTTTTTTTTTTTACTTTTAACCCCTTAAGGACAAATCCAATTGTACATGTTTTGATCAAAACAAAACCAAAACAAAAACTGGAATTTAACTTCACCTCTTTCATATTAAGTGCACCAACACTTATTATATATCATATTTGCTCGGAAGAAACAGGGCTTTCAGTTCATAACAAATATTCATATATAAAATATAATTTTATATGAATAAAATCTAAAAAAGTGTGATCAATTAAGAAATGTTATTTTCTTAGTTGTGCGTGACATTTTAACTATAAATGTCATAATACTTTTAACAATTACTGCAATAACACACTTATATTTGTTTTCAGCAAAATCTCACGAGTACAAGAGTACCCCCAATGTACAAGTTTTATAGAGGTTTTGGAAAGTTTCAGGGTCAAATATATCCCTTTTTTCAGTTTATATACATTGAAATTTGCCAGCCTGGTTATGTTGCCTTTGAGACCGTATGGCAGCTCAGGAATGAGAATTGAAGATTATGCTAGTGTTAGTGTACTAGTAATCTTAATTTTAATAATGACAGGAGTCAAGTATTTTGCATTATCTCTCTTTACTAACTCCAAACAGCAGTAAAGAAACACATAGAAAAAAAGAACCAATCACCAGAGAGTAGGATGTATATAAGGCAACGTGACCTCATCATTTCCTCTTTCAGAAAGCGACAACAAGCAGGAGAAAAGCATATAGCAAACAAACAATAATAACTCGAAGATCCCAGTGCGAGGGAACAAACTTCCAAAGAATTCCATACGGATAACAAAAAGGAGTTCAGGGTTGCTTGAAATCCTGAGGATGAAATGTCCAATAGTTCACGTGAACAGCCAATTGTCTTCAGTGACGAATCATACTGAAAAGAGAATGTGTGACAGGTTTATACATAGTCATGAACATGTAACTCCAGTTAACGTACCACATAACATCCCATTGTAGAATATAGTAAATATAATCTGATAACCGAGTAATAGAGATGAGAACTCTAGTGAAGCTTCCATATTAATGGAAGTACGGACATATCGTATACTATAGTCTGACAACTGAGTACTGGTATTAGAACTCTAATGAGGATTCCATATAGTGGAAGTGCGAACATATCATATGAGCAACAATGTAAGAAGCCAACTCACCTTAGCCCCCGATCTCTACAACGCAAACGAAAAGAAAGGGTGGGTCGCGAAGCAGGGGGGGAAAATACTTGCCTCCTGTCATTATTAAAATTAAGATTACTAGTACACTAACGCTAGCATAATCTTCAATTTTACCACATGACAGGAGGCTTCGTATTTTGCATTTTTTTTTTCTCTTTATTTCTTTTTATTCCGGTAATCCATACATATATAGGATTCAGTTAATAGTGCAATCGAACAGTAAATCGGCAGTATGCTTTGGTATAGTGGTTGCATATATTCAGTGCATTGTCATTACGTTACATTTCAGTTATGCAGTTGTATGTACATATTCCATACCTTCTGTGGATTGCGAGCCAGCTCAACCCATATGTTGTTAAGATATTACTATGTTGGTTGCTAGCCCCATAGCCCACATGCCGCTCTATGTATGCATGGTCTCTGAAGACCACGATAGCGTCGCGTTTGGGTGCTTTAGCCCCCTGTGGTATGCCTGCCTGTGTGGACACTGTTTTTTTTAAAAGAAATTCCAGCTCTTCTATAGAGAGGAGAAAGAGAGAGGAAGCGAGAGAAAGAGTAGCGAGAGGAGGGTTTATTTAAGACAGGTGTAGTGCCGCCGTGGGTCTTCTTGGTAAGGGTGGGGGAGGGTAGGTGATGTTGGTGAGTGTCCCTGTGGGTTCTGCTTTTTTCAAACTGTGTTGGTGAAAGGTTTCTAATGTGGTTACAGTTTTCCCTTGTCACATGGTTGTTGCGCCCGGTGCCGCAGCACTTAGGCTCGCCCTCCCCTCCAGCCATTTGTTCCATTTTCCCCATGCATCTAGGTTTTTGTTATGTCTATCAGAACTCTCATGAGCCATCTTTTCGTACTGACAGTTGAGAGATACCTGTCGGATCACATCACCTATGGGGGGGCTGTGGTGGATTTCCACCTCCTAGCTAAAAGCAAATTTGCTGCTATCAATATGTGAAATGCTAGGGTCCCTTGTTGTTTTGAGAGGTGATCAGGGAACATGAACAGCAGGAAGAATTCCGCTAATTCCGGTATCGGTTTGTGTATTACTTCTCCAATTAGCTTGGCTATTCCCTCCCAGAAGGGTCTGATTATCGAGCATTCCCACCAGATTAGTAGCATTGTTTCTTTGTCAGTGGTGCATCTCCAACATTTGTCAGAGGTGTTTGGGAACATATGTGCTAACCTCGCTGGTGTTAGGTCGTATTTTGCATTTTTAACCCTGAGAAAAGAGTATAGAACTAAAAGGAGTCCTCAGGTGTGCCGAGAGGTCCGGCAGTTCAGCGTTGCGGGGAGGCCTTGCCGTTGAGCGCCCACATATACACCCTCTAATGGGAAATTATACACGACCAAGTCTGGCCGTCTGTCAGCAGAATGTCTAGTCCCGTATAGTGGAATGAGAACGACCTCCACCATCCATAAGTTGGAAGGGTATGTCAGTGGGTAGTTGATATCCTAGAGGATCCTAGTCCCTCGGGCGTCCTCACATCTGGTTGTATTTCCATCTCCATCCTCGGATAAGGGGTCAAGATGCAGGACCGAACCAGACAGGCTGGGAGTGTGCCGATGTAGGGGTAGGGCCGTCTTATCCCTGGGTATCCAGGTTCCCGAGAGGTCCCCTGGCAGTCCGCGATCATCCGCCGACCTGCCAAGAGCAATCCCCCAAGGCGGGTCCAGGTCCCCAGGTAGCCAGCCACCCGTGATAGGGCTTGTGACTAGTGATGTTCCAAACTGTTCGCCGAGCGGTTCGCCGTGGACTCCGGTCAGCAGACACATTCCAGCCAATCAGCAGCAGACCCTCCCTCCCAGACCCTCCCACCTAATGGACATCATCCATTTTGAAGCTGCATTCTTAGTGAGCTATCCAGGAAGTGGGAGGGTCTGGGAGGGAGGGTTTGCTGCTGATTATCTGGAATGTGTCTGCTGACTGGAGTTCGGCGAACAGTTCGGGACATCGTCTCCGTGAGGAATTGTCGGACATGACTGTAGTAGGGGAAGATCCTCGCATGTCCGCAAACTTTTGTAGACCTTGAAGCCCGAACGTAAGTCCTACAGGGAGGTCCGATTGGACGGAGCGTGATCACCTCTATGTGTATCGATTCATACTGTGACGAGTGACGCTATCCGAATCAGTCGGCCCCCATGAGATGTGTCTCCCTCAGGGAATGGGTTGATCTTCTGTGAAGAAGACAGAGACCAAAAGGAGTCAACACATTGTCAGATACAGGTGAGTTAAGCCATCCTGGTGGATGTAAAACCAGACCGGCCCATCTGTGGTCACCTGCAGTAGGGTACGGTTGGTCTAGTACTTCTACTAGATCCATGCATTGTGAAGTATAGGGCCCAGAAGTCTAGGTATACAATGTACAGAGTTGCGGTAGTGTCGCGGAGTGTCGTGCGAGTGTTCTCCAAGTATGGAATGGTCTACGAGTCCCGTGAGCGAATAATCTTCTACAAGTCTGGAGTTCCAGATGGTTCTCGGATGACCTCGGGTGTTGGCGAGTGTACAGTACTTTCAAGTGACCTGACTGAGGTTCCCCAGAGGAGAGTGTCCCGGTTCCCCACTTGTATACATTATTTCATACGGTTGTATATCAGGGCCCACCAGGCTCCTAGCTACT